CCGAACTTTGTTACAGCTAATGACATCCAAAAACTTGATAATGCCTTTCTTCCTGAATTTGTTCTGAAATTCCTTTCATTTTAATCTACTTATCCTTTTAGCATAATAATGACCCAGACATATAATAAGTCACACAATTTCATTTGCAGAAGATCCAGTCGTGCCACAGGGCTGTCCTTAATTTCAGCTCACTGTTTAATTCATTGCAATTCAGTCTTTTCCAGGATGTTCCTTCAGTCTATCTCTTCTGTGCTGCCTATTGTGTGGAAAGGAAACTGCTGTTGGAAACTTGCTGTGGTTTTTACATAATCCTGGACAAACAGGGAGCCACATTCTGGAATGCTGGGGAGGACCAGTATTTAGCCTGTGGGAAATGGCAGAGGGATCTTCAAGAACCTTCTCCCAGACTCTGAACTGGGGAATAATATATGGCTGGGCTACCTGGACAGTTCCCATACAGGCCTGTCTGTGTCACTGGGGCCTGGGACATTCACCTTTGGGAAATGTCTGCCTCTGGGCACCAAGATAGATTCATTCCCTCATATTTTCAACAAATGTATATTTTCAGTGGAACTTGAGTGCACAGGATCAGGTTAATCATACTCTGATTTAAGACATGCTGTCGTAATTAGCCAAGGATGGCCTTTTTTAATTCTAAATATTTTAATATAATAAAAATGTATGAACCCATTACACAGCCCAAGAACCTCCAGAGGTAACCACTCTACTTAATTTAGTTTAGAAACTTAGATAAAATAGCCAAGCATAGCCAGGGGAGGGGGTGGGGGTGGAGGGGTGGAGAACTAGCCTTAATCTCAAAAGAAATAGCCTGAATACTCTTATTTGTAATTACTAAGAAAGTGAAACAGTCTTTTAAAGTCTTCCCATTAGAAAAGCAACAGTCCCAGAGGGATTTAAACGAGGGTTCTAACAAACTTTCAAGGGCTAGATTGTTTCTATCTTATCAAACTCTTCCAGAGAATAGAAAAAGAATACTTCCCCAACTCATCCTAAGGGAGTAATAACTAGAGGGGGGTTTTAGTGAAGGAACTAGGTCCTATTCATTGATTAATATACATGCAAAACTCTTAAATATAATAGCAGCAAAACAAATCTAATCAAGTGGGGGGGGGGGGAGACAGAA